GAGGGGGACGGCCAGCCGGGCTGGGCCCGGAGCTCCGCTCGCCGCCCTGCGCCGGGGCCTCCCCGCGGGACAGCTGAGGTGAAACCCCTCAGGGTTGTTCTCCAGGCCCGGCGTGTTCCAGGAGGGGTTTTGGGGGTTGTTTTAAGGCCGTGATTAATGTCAGTAAGCAGCTAGCTGTGCTTTCCTCCGAGGCGTTTGTATCCGTGAGCGTCCCTGGCGCTCCTCAGTCGGGTCCCGGAGGTGTCTGTGCGGCTTAAAGCTGCCGGACGTGCCTGGTGTGTCGGTGTTCCTTACCGAGTCGCCCTGTGAGAAGGAGATTTTTAGGAAGGTTACTGATGAGAAGGTGTTTTGGGTACCATAGACGTAAACTTCGTTTATACGATAGATATAAACTTCGTTAAAGCTGGGGAGGGACTTTTTATAAGGGCAGTTAATGACAGAACAAGGGGAGATGGCTCTAAACTGGCAGAGGTGAGATGGAGCTGAGATGTGAGGAAGAAATTGTTTGGTGTGAGGGTGGTGAGACAGTGTCCCAGGTTACCCAGAGAAGCTGTGGCTGCTCCTCCCTGGAAGTGTTCTCGGCCAGGCTGGATGAGGCTTTGAGCAACCTGGTCTAGTGGAAGGTGTCCCTGCTGCTGGCAGGGGGGTTGGAACTGGATGAGCTCTAAGGTCCCTTCCAACCCAAACCAGTCTGGGATTCTATGATTTGCTATATATCTATATAGATATAAACTTTGTTTATATCTAGGTGCGGAGACCCCCTCAGTCCTAATAAGTGAATCAAAATGCGCTTTTTTGGTTGACTAAAGTGACACAGGAGCTCTGAGAATGCTGTGCTGGTGACAGCTAAGTAGTGGTATTTACTGCAGGTGGCTCTCTGTCCAGCCATTGATTGATTGTTTTTTTTAATGCCATGAAGGTTGCTGGTTGCTCTGTTTTCTTTTATTCTCCAGGATATTAGTTTGGTGATGTTCCTTATCCATGTTGCCTAAGGTGCTTTGCTGGACCTGCTTGTGTCTAGGGGCCTGAAAAAGGGGCAATATTAGATCTGATAATTACACGTGCTGAAAAACATCGCATACTGGGAAGGCATGAACGTGAGACCTCTGCTCTCCAGGTTTCTCTGCTGACGTTTTCCATGATTTATCTGATTCCAGTGACCCTGGAAGAAAGCTTATATATTCAATACCCAGAACTGATTTATCGTTTACTGTTAAACTGTTCCTTTTCCTTGTCCTTCCAATTATTTTTCTTCCCCATTCTTTTTGCTTTATGATGAAAGAAAAATTCATTAAAAAGCAAATAGGCCAGGAGAAAATCAATCAAATAATGTAAATTACTTTACATTTAATATTCTATTATGTCTATGCTAATGTTTTTTAAAACTGCTTTTATTAATTAGCTTAGTATGGTTTATGAAATGCATTTACATGCCTTGGAAGTGTGTTGCAAGAAGTAGCTGCTAATACTTTTTTATAATGAGCAGGCAGTTGGAGGTCAGACTGGAGAGGGCTGTTTCTTTCAGAGCAATATTTTGATTGTACTCAACATGGACAGTTTTTTCTTTTGCAGTTCTTTGTCTTACTATTTCTACAACTTTGAGCAGTAATAAACTGTGATCATCTGGGCTGCAAATCCAGTAATCCTGTTATTCACACTGATGCTGAACCTTGGCTGTTTGCCTAACCTTTTTGGCTTTGATTGCTGGAGAAATAATTTGAGTTTATAGTCTAAAGCTGAGTTAGTGTTGCAGGGGAGACCAATTCTTACATTTTTCTGTCTCGCTTCCTAAGTTGTCTATTAGAAATGAAATGATTGCGGTGCAACAGGTGCTTAGATATTTCCTCCATCAAAGCTAAACTCATTTTGTGATACTCTTTATGTTGCAGGTTGAAAATGTGAAGTTACTAGATCGTTATGCAAACAGGAAGACAGCAAATGGGACGTTGTACCTGACAGCCACCCACCTCATCTACGTAGATGCTTCTGCTGAAGTCAGAAAAGAAACATGGGTGTGTTGTGATGCCTGGAGTCTCTTTAAACACGAGTATCACAATGACTTTATATCTCGTATCCAAAATGAACAAGTTTGTGAATGCCAAAGTTTTAGTGGGTTTTTTTTGGTAGCATTTTTGATACCAAATGCTTAAGAGAAACAGCTGTTTTGGAAAGAAATGAACACAATGGTAATGTGACTTGATAGAGGTCGCTCACTGAATTAGTGTTAGTTCCAGGAACATAAAAAACTCATCTGGTTTCCTATCTCAAACTCAATATACCAAGCCACCAAACTTGGATTTACAGCTTTTAGAAGTGCAAAATTAGCACTGAAACTAGCCTTTTTGATTATTTCTAAAATAAAATGGGAATGACAGAATATATTGCATGTGGGGGTGGAGGGAAAGCAAAGTGAACTGGGTAGAACTGAGCTACACGTCAGTCTCTACAAGTGATTTATGTTCACCTGTGGGTTTTTTTAGCCTTGGTCTTGGTTACCCAGCCTTTGGGTGCATAGCCTGGGTGTTTATTATGTTTGTTTGATAAATGTCACAGATTAGTTAGATTCAGTAAGCATAAACAGCTGACAGCATTGCAGAAAGTTCCTATCTGCTTGTACTGCTGGCAACTGTATCAACAGCTTCTGGAAAAGGTGGTTTATTTGCTGTTTTTCAGATTCTGCATCACCATATTGCAACTGTAGAAAAATTGCCTCTGACCACAGCTGGATATCCACTCCTTATTCACTGCAAGAACTTCCACGTGGCTCACTTCGTTATTGGGCAGGAACGTGACTGTCATGAAGTTTATACCTCATTGCTTAAACTTTCACAACCAGGTATTTAGGATGGGAGTCCATTTTGCAAATCATTGAAACACTTTAAGCTGGAAGGCTCGTCTGAGCGATAGAGAAAGCTTTGAGGTGTCAGTACAGGAGGGGAAGGATGTGAAATCATAGAGTCATAGGATGTTGTGAGTTGGAAGGGATCATTGAGTCCAACTCCTGTCTCTGCACAGGACAATCCCAAGATTCAGACCTTGCCAAATGCTGCTGGAATCTTGTCAGGCTGAATCAGTTTCCACCACCAGAGATGATCTGTGTGGGTCAGCTCAGTAAGGAGAGTGCTGTCCTGTGGACCAGGGCATTTGCTTCCAAACTAAACACAAATCTTTTGTGAGTGGAAATGAGGTGATCTCCCATGAGGAACTTCTGAAGACCCGTGCGAAGTTCATTTGCCCAACTGAGGTTGTATGTGGCATCTCAGGCTTTTTTCTTGTAACACTCATGCTGAGTGTCATATCCCATACCTGGCTGTTGTCAGTCATTTCTGTGACTTAGCTGTTGGCCCTGTGTAGTTCTGCCCTTTCCTGTTGATCCAGATGTTCACAGACTTCTGGAATCCCACAAGTAAAGCTCTAAATGATGACCTCTTTTGTTTCCCAATAGCATGTTTAGGCTACTCTTCAGTGTTTGTCTTTTTTCAGTCATGAAATGTGACGCTTCACTCTAGCTGCCCAGACTTGGAGTCACTCTTAAAGAGTGTAAGCAAAACATCCTCCAAAGCCTGTGGTCTCTTCAGGCTTCAGCTTTTTAGTCCATCATGGATGAATCTTTAGGCTTCTTGTTCTTCTTGCAGGATAACATTCCACCAAGTTTCCTACCTGGCTTCTGTCTATGGCAGCTTCTAGTTTTGGGGTGCTCCTTCAGTGAACCAGTATTTGAACCAGTTCTGCATTATTAAAAGGATGCCATTTTTAATTGCATTTTGTAATTATGTCACTGGACTAAGGGAGGGGAATTAATAGCACCAGTCTGCTTCATGCTGGCCATCGCTTAGGACTTGACTAGAAATGCTGTAGTACAAATGGTTTTTTGCTAAGTTTGGGGTTTTTTGATTGAATTTAAGGCTTATGTCTGTTCCCAGCGTCTCCCTTGTGCCCTGAGCTATGAAGTTTTCTTAGTTCTGAATCTAATGCTGTGTATGGCAAGTTTCTGGTGTTATGTTTAAAAGCTGTTACTGTTCTTTCAGTTTTGAAAATTAGAGACTTATGTAGTGTCTTGAAGCATGGGAGCTGTCACTGCGGGGGATTACATCAGTTTCTTGTCTCGTGGTTATTTGTGTAATGTGCTGTAGCTCTCTCTTTTGTTCTGTTTATGGTTTTTAACAGTTCTCTTTTGTTATTTTAAAATTTCTGTAGGTATGCTTGCTTCATATTTTTTTTGGCAGAACATATAATTATTTATGATTTGCACATGTGTGACTGACAGCTGTGGGTTACCTGTCTGGTAACCTGGCTGCTCTATCAGACTCTGACAGGTTTCACTCTGTCTCTGGAACACTTGCTGCCTTGAGAATCAGCTGAATGAGTTACTGGTTGGATTTGCATTTTATGAAGAGAGGGAAGGAAATTGGGATGGTAGAGATGGAGGGAGGAAGAAATTACCATTTGTCAGACACAGCCTGAAGCTTTTGTTGGGCTGACAGTAATATTCAAGACATCTATCAAGTTTTCCATGCGGCTCAGAACTCTGTTGTACGATGAACTTCCAGGTGTGCAAGAGCTGTTTTATGAACTCTTCACAGAAAATATATCTTTTGATATACACTTTCATTTCTTATGTTATAAATCTTGCCTAACATGCCTTTTGCAGTGAATTCAATTGGAAATAACTCGTTGAGTAGAACTTACCACTTTGAGCTTTAAATTAATTCTAACAAAATGTTTTAGTGTATCTTCCTGCATGTAGAAACTGAGTGTTGGAAATTCCTCAGGATTTCAGTGTGAACTGTCAGCACTTGGTACTACCCCAAATTAAAACCTATAATTGTGAGGCTGAGAAATTTTAAATATCCATACTCTTCTATATAGTACTCTTTTTTTTTTTAAGGAGTGAGAATGAGTCTAAGTTTGCTTAGGTTAGTGAAGTATGCAAAGCAATAAAAGAAAACTTCATGCTTCTGGTCTTTGAGGAGGCAGAAGCATAAGGAAAATAGCTGTTACTAAAATATAGCCAACTACACAGTGCAGAGACACAGCCCTTTGGCTTCTTTAGTAAATGATTTCTAAATCTCCTGATCTTTCTTCACTGAATACATTTTTTCAGTCCTCGTATCAGTTGTGGTACACCTGCAGCTCGTTGGCTTGCGCAGTCTGCTTATCCAAAAGATGACCTTTAGATTATATCTCTCTCTAGTTAATTTTTTTTCCTTTCTTCTTGCCAGTGAAACCTGAAGAACTTTATGCTTTCTCTTACAATCCTAAAATGTCTAAAGAGAACCGGGAGATTGGATGGAAGCTGATTGATTTAAAAGTAGATTACCAGCGTATGGGAATCCCAAACGACTGTTGGGAAATAACGGATGTTAATAAAGACTATGAGGTAATTCTTACCCGAAGTGGCCATTTAATGCAGTATCTCTTTGTTATTAATGACATACAGCAGCCCTTCTGCCGCTGCATAAGTGATGCCTCTGGGGAGGAAATGAACTCAGTTGGTTTTAATCGAAGCAGCATCATCTTGATGTGAAGTTGTGGATAATGATGCTATGGAAGAACAGAGCTTCAGAGTCACCTTGGTTTGCTTTGATCCCCTTGGCAAAGTACCAGATACTTATTTTCTAGAGAAATGTCAAACCATCTGTTTCAAAAATACCTGGAGTACCCTTAGCTGCTTTTGGTATTTCTAAACCCTGTCCCACTAGGCTGGTGACAGATGCGTGGAAGAGAAATAAATGGCAGTAATTTGGGTTGGTGGGAGATGAGGCAGAGTGGAAAGGGAGTAGCGAAGGAAGGAAAAAACAGTAACAAAAAACAGACCTTTTTTTTTTTTTTTTCCCTTGCTTGGTTGAGTCTTCTGCTAAATAAGGGTTCTCAGGCATTTCAATCCTACCTGTCTGCTGCTGATATTTTCTTTTCTTTCCTTTCTTCCCTGTAAAGCCAGGTTGGATTTAAACAACATTAAGTGAAAGCATTTTTCAGCAAATTTACTCCACTTCCTGCTTCCTATTATTTCCCTTTTTATTTCTTCTGATCTTTGGTACAGTCAGACCTTTCTGTCTAAAGACAAAGCACACAACTCGGAGGAACGTACCAATACATTAAGTCTTGACTCACTTCCCCCTCCTCTCCATTCCCTTTCCCCACTAGTTTTCTTTACTGTTATGCTTTGGGTTGAAGAAATATAAGCCTGTACTGTCAGAAGTGACTGGTAATTTAAAATTTAATTTTAAATGACTGTATCTTTGGGTGCCTGAATTGAGATACAACGCGAGAGGTGCTCTTTCTATTAGCTGATGAGGGCATCTGAATGTGAGCATCTAAAATCACGAATCACTCTGAAGCTTTATGTTGCTAGTATTTAACTCTCAAGTGCCAGTACTTTATAATTTCCTCAGGGTTTCCAGCTTATGTTTTAAAATTTCTAGCCTCAAGTAAAGCCAAACTTGGAGAATAGCTTATCTGTGGAATATGTGCTGAAATGACTATTTGTTTGAGGAAAAAGGATAAAGCTGGTCTCTGAGGATGCTACCTGATTGCTGGAAGCTCATTTCAAGTTGAATATGATTTAGAGGGAACTTTTAATATACAGTTGTTCTTAATTTCTCTTTTTTGTGACAAATTGGGAACTTTAATAAAATTTCTGGATTTAAAGAACTTCCTTTTAATAGGAAGTTATTTTTTTTTTGCAAAATTGATTGTTTCCTTCACCACATTGTTTTATTTTGCACTTCTTCTTGTGTTGTTTTTCTAAATGCATCTTAATGACTTCAAACTTTAGATGTGGACTTTGTCAGATAGACTATGGCAGACATCTATTCCTGTTGTTGATAAATGCTAGATCACAAGCTAAAGATTAATTTTTCTTTAATTTTGAACTGTTACATAGTAGTGTCTGGATTTTTTTTCTTTCTTCTCATTTAGGTTTGCAACACATATCCTCCAGAAATAGTGGTGCCTAGAGCTGCTAACAAGGCAGTGGTGATCGGAAGCTCGAGATTCAGAAGCAGAGGGCGGATTCCGGTGCTTTCTTACTTGTATAAAGAAAATAATGTTAGTTGTTCTTTTTCTGCTGTCTTTCTGGGGAGTAAGGGTTGCCCCTCTTGTCCAGTCCCTTTTTAGCAAAGGGAAAGAATGAGGTAATTATTAGAGCATATTGATTTCACGTTTGAGAACTGCACTGCTCTTGACGGCTTTGATATTGGTTTGTTCCGAGTCACAGAATAAGCTGGTTAAAGACAAACACTTGGGATTCATCCAGAGCTGTGCAAAAAGTACAAACTTTCCAAGCTTCCTGTCTGAATTTTTTTTAATCAGCTTTCAGCAGTGCCTTGTTATGTGTTGTGGGGGTTTTTTTTAAAAAATCTACTGCTCATCTATATTGAATAATGTTTTAACAAGATACGTGTTAACTTAGGTAGGTTTTCTTAGTACTGAAGAGGAGGAACCACCCTGAAATAAATCCCCACAAGCTCAGAATAAGTGAAGGTTTCAGGTTTTTTTTTCCACTGAAGACCAGAATGTAAATTTTTAACTTTGCTGTCTCAGCAATGTCTTAGATGCAGACGTTAGGAAAATGCTGTCACAGTCAAATTGTTGTTTTCCTGAGGAAGCGTGCCTTGACCTGGGCAACTGTATGGAGTTGTGCTGGCAGCTATTGAGATTTCCCTAAAGCACACTCGGTGCAGTTCTGAGTGTGGAACGGTGACAACTGATAAGCAAAGTTCTGTAAAAGAATGGTTTGAACAATAGAAATCAAGTAGAAAACTTGAGAAATGTTAACATTTGGGCTACTGATCATCAGGCAGAGCAGAGTGGGTTTGAGAACATAGCAATGAGACTTGCAGCAGGGCTTCTTAGCCAGATTCCCAAACTTCTAGCTTGGAGAAATATTCCATTAGTATTTCTGGATGTCTACGTAAGTAGCGTTTTTTCAGTGAAGCAGAGAATAAGACACTTAAAACCAACAAATTACTGTTCTTTGGGGCAGTGCAGTAGAGACAATCTGAAAGTTAGAAGAACATGGGCTGTTGTGTGTTGCAGGCTGCCATATGCCGATGTAGCCAACCTCTCTCTGGGTTCAGTGCACGCTGTCTGGAGGACGAACAAATGCTGCAGGCCATCAGAGAAGCCAACCCTGGGAGCCCCTTCATGTATGTTGTAGACACAAGGCCAAAGGTATCTTCACGGGCTTTGTGACTACCTTTAAAGCTTGCGTCTGAATTGGTGATGTTGTTTCCCTTCTTTCACAACTCTGCTGGTGCTTTCTTATGCAGCAGGAGGTTAAATTGTGTCAGTCCTGAACCAGCAGTTCAGTCTCGGGCTCCTGGTTCAGTGCCAATGCGATGACTGCTTGTGTGTAATAAAACTGCAGTGTTAAGTGCTGTTAAGAATGCTCCTGGAAGTATCCTGGGTTGACGTTTGTGAAGGTTCACTTGAAACAACTGACGAATCTTGAAACTGGCTGAGACAGTGAAGCATTTTCCCGCAGAGCTGGGTTCTTCCTATGTTGAGTTGGAGAGAAGCTTTAGGAATTGGTTCCACAAGGCTAAAGTGCTTTTATGGGCACTTGTAAAAATAACATAAATATTCTTACGATGAGCAGCTTGGAGTTTAATCCAGTTCAGCTCTTCTAGCCACTATTTGGGACTAGAATGTTGTTTCTGAGTTGTTTATGTAAGGGGATATTGAAGAAATATTTGCAAAATGAAATCTCTAATGACTGTTGTCTTGAGGAACTGAATTTAGAAACCAGTTCAGATGATTGTCTTGTAAGCATATTGATTGGGAGTGTTCATATAAGCCAATGCGAACACAAGGATTTTCATAGTACACAATCATTTAAATGCAAATATTTAAAAGTGCTCCAAGTATCTTAAAATTGAGCTTTCTGAGAACATCCTTCACTGTTCAGATACTGCAGTTATTTTATAGAAACTACAGATTTACTTAAACTATGGCAAGGGCAAGAAGTAAAAAAGTCTTTTCTGGGAAAGCAGTAAATGTTTCACCTGTTGTTCCAAGATGAATTTTGGCTTTTTGTAGTATGACAATTCCTAGAGATAACCTGTTCTGTAATTGTATATATGCTTATAGCAGTCACTACATGTTCTTCTGGTACAGGCAGCTTCCAGTATCATAGGTGTTCCACTGAAATGTATCATTGATGGCAATTTTATTCTAAAGTATTTGGTGAAAAAGGGAGAATTTATTATTTGCCACATTTTTCCTTCTAACACAACATGTCTTGGTATCACTGAAACACTAGGATTATTTAATTGTTCTGAAGAAGTATATACAGTATCTGACTCTTCCTTCTCTCCTCTCCATGGAGGCAAATCACTCCTCTTCTTCCCAAATTAATGTGTGGGGGAGTTGGGGGAGTTGAGGTGCTTTTTTTTTTTTTTGCTTTTTTTTGGTCACTTGTAAAGATTTCCTGGTGGCTCTTGAGCTCTTTTGAGTAATTGTTAGAGCAACTCATTTCTTTTCTACTTCTCTTCTGCAGTTCTGGTTGGTTGGTGTATTCTTTCTGCTCAACTTTAATATTTCTATGTTTCCCTCAGGTGGCTTTATTTCATCTGTGCATGTATGTCTGAAAAGCTTTGGAATTCTCTTACTATTTCTATACCACCATGTATGTATGTTACTCATACAAATGGCTTTCATAGTTTTACTTTCATGTCTGAAACTTTTTATGTAGTTTCACAGTTAAGGCAGATCAGTGTCTCTTTACCTGTTTTGATGGCAGCAGTATTCTGAAATTGGGCACGGTTCTGATACTGCCCACCCTATCCAGGGTCTTAATGAGTCTAAGCATATGACTAATGGACTGGAGACAGTGGTGTAATTTTAGAGAAACAGCTGGAAGTAATGTCTGGGTGGTGGGGAAGTACCTCTAAGTGACAACTTTGTCCAGTATATTTTCTGGGAGATTTTAAAAAAAAAAAAAAAAAGAAGGACTTGCAAAACACTCATTTATTTCTGCGTATTGTGTGTTGTAATTTTTTCTCTTTCTTTTCTATCCTATTCCCATTCCCTTGAATTTGACAGTTAAATGCCATGGCCAACCGAGCTGCTGGGAAGGGTTATGAGAATGAAGATAATTACGATAACATTCGCTTTAAATTTATTGGCATAGAAAACATCCACGTGATGCGGAACAGCTTACAGAAACTCCTGGAAGGTGGGTACAGTTTGTGCAAGGGGCCATTCTTCATTACCCCTCGCTACTTTTGGACAGAGCCTTCTGCTGAATATATAAATCCTACGAGCACAGGTGCATGTGGACTTGTGTTTTGTATTGGAAGCAGATAAACGAAGTCAGTATTTTACTTTGTTTGCTGTATTGAAGTGGGTGAAAGTATTTATATTGTTAAAATGCTTTTCTGCTAGACATTTTATTTATTATTGTGCTTAGTTTTATAGTGGTTCAAAAATAGCAACTAATAATAACAACATTCCTTAATGGTGTTATTTACATAACATGTGAATTTCTGAAATGTGACAAATTAAAAGAAGAAGGCTATAAAAGTATATCACACTTTACCATTAAGGTAGTCTCACAGTTAATTTATGAGCTATTGAAAGAAAACTAACATAATTTGTTAAGGAAATACTTTTCTGGGGTTTGCTATGTTTAGTTTGGAGTATTTCAGTGTTAAACAGTATTTCTGATTTGAAATAAAATTCTGGCATGATCTTCCAAAGACTTTAATCTCATACGTATATAGTTCTTATTTTAAATTTATTTTGATTGTCTTTAGCTGAACTTGGTTTTGATACATTAAAATGTATTAATGTTTTAATACAGTAAAATATATTAAAACACAGAGTAGCTCGGGTAATTAAGCTCCTCTGTGAGGTTATGATCTTAGGGAAAAATGTGAAGCAAGGCAGAAGAAATACTTACCTGAGCCATTGGAGCTGAAGAGGTGAATCAGGTGTGTCGTTTCACTAATGTACTTTTGGAGGAGTTTCATTAAAGGTGATGGCGTAGCGTGGCTCAAACCAGCCTACTCTGCTAGCTAGTTTCCAGCACTGTGACCATCCTTGTGCTGACAAAGACTGTGAAGTAGGGCAGGGTAGATGTTCAAAATCATTCTGCTTCATTCCTCTGCTTCATTCCTCTGCTTAGTTTTCTAAAATGTAATACAAGTGCTGTTATTAAAAATACAAGTTTAATAATTTAGTAACCAGCATAATGGTCATTTTGCTTAAAAATAGTTGAATAATTGATGCTACTAATTGGCTGGCCAGGATCTGTGGTGACCTTGAAGAAAAATGAGGCTGTTCACACTACCAAGAGATTGTCCTGATGACAAGTATAAGTCCTCAATTGCCTGTTCCTTGCAGATTTGTTTTGTGGTGGAAGAAGAGGCAGAATAAATACTTGTTTACTCCTGTATTTTTCGGCAGTGATAAAATCTCTCTTGCTGGTGCTTACAGACTATTGAACTGTATTGCTATAAGTATTTTCTATGCTGGGTTTCAGTGTAGCATCTGAGTTGCCTTCGAGGTTAGATGTGATATTTCTCTCTCTAAATTAGAACTCTCCTTTCTTCAAATGATGGTAACTGCAAGTTAGTGGCCATTAGATGTGTGTGCGATGGTGATTTATAGTGAAGTAACAGATCACTAAACACTTTATTGGGAAAAAAAAATCAGCTGAAAAAAAGGAGTTACCATTTAAAGAAAGAGGAGGAGGATGTTTTCAGATCCTCAGGTTCTCATAGCTAAAAATTTCTGATTTGTGTTATTTAACTGTGCAACCAGTAGTTTCTGTGTCCCTTAGAGTATTTCTACTGATACTTAAGTAATGTGGTAATATTAGCTTTTAGGCTCTACCAGGCTTTCTTTCTGTGAAGAGATAAGGAGGAGGTGGGAAAAAGAAAGGAGATGTTGTTAATGGAGTGTCAGCTAATTCCTTTGTTTGTGTTTCTTAGTGTGTGAAATGAAGTCCCCCTCAATGAGCGATTTCCTCACTGGGCTGGAGAACTCAGGTTGGTTACGGCACATTAAGGCTGTGATGGATGCAGGTGTCTTTCTTGCCAAGGTAAAACTGTACCTCAACCTGCAGGTGAATTAAAAAATATGTACTTGTCTGTTAGGGACTGCTCCAAGGCTGAGGTGTTGTCTCTGGAGAGAAGGTGGGAAAACATTGCTATTCAGGTTGGCATCAGCTCTCAAAAACAAGCCTGCAGGTGGAGAACATCAAGTGGGTTACCCAGCTGGCTCCCTCCTAGATGTTTCTGTGACTAAATGCAGTGCCTCAGAGGAGAGGCCTGAGAATTCTTGGCCTTACAAAAGACTGAGCATTTTTAAATCAGGGGGTCTTTGTTTCTTGGCAGTCTGTGGTGCTGACAAGGCATGCTACAGCATTTTATTCTAGTTGGGGTTTCCTATGGGTTGAGAGCTATGTGCCCAGAAATGGTGCACATCCATGGTCCAGATGAGAAATGACAAATTTTCCCCTTGGGTTTTAGGCCAGTCTGGTAAATATAGATGAAGAAATAGTATTTAATTACAGTAGCCAACCTGGAAAGCTGCTAAACTGTTCTGTCTGGTCTCTTTCACAGGCTGTGAAAGATGAAAAAGCCAGCGTGTTAGTCCACTGCTCTGATGGGTGGGATCGCACAGCACAGGTCTGCTCCCTGGCTAGCCTCCTCTTAGATCCGTTTTATAGGACTTTTAAAGGCTTCATGGTAAGAATACAAATGTTGGAATTTCAAAAATAAAAAGTACTTCCTGAATTTGAAATGTAAACAGGTCCTAATTAAATGTTTTAGGCCATTTTCTGGAGCAAACAGTAGGTGATCTATGTAAAAACAGCTTTGATTCTATAAACAAGCTTTAATTGCTCTGAACAGCAGGGGCACAAAACAGCAGCGGTTGATTTACATTTCCCAAATCTTTGTTTCCTTGAATGTCTACATGAGAGCCACTAATGAGATATTGCAGCAAGAGATGAGTGAGCAAAGGATTCAACTCTGGCAGCAATCCACAAAAAGAGTTGGAGCAACTTGTCATTCAAGTCTGTGAGAGTGAATGATTTCTTACCTGCTAGGACTGAAAATTGGGTGAACTGATTCTTGTGCACAGGGCAGCATATAACCTGTATATAACCTCCGTCAAATCTATGCATTATTTAAGACCTTTTTTAAAGCCATTACATATGAATTTGGCCATTTGCTTCTACTGCAGGCTTTTTCTTACTTGAAGCATAAATACAGTGTGATCTGTGATGTTATCTTTCCGTTTATCTTCTTTTGTTAAAATACCTGAAAGACAGGCTGCTGCTCTTTCTCAGAAGAGTTCCTTAAAAGAAACCCTGAAATCAGAACAATGCCAATTTTGCCTCCTCCAGTGTGTTGCACTGCTGGGACTGTGTCCTTGCATTTCGTGCTATTTTTATGATTATTAATTTTGCTTCTGGGTTATACTTCATTTTTTTTAACAGTTAAAATTACATCAGGGTGTGAAAAATCTGCCTGGGCTTTGGTTGTGCTCTGGACAATTCTGTATGAACTAGGAAAGAGTATTTCACAACTCTGTTGTGAATTTCTGGCTTCCTTTTGTTCTTTAAGTCTCTGGATGTTGATAACAGGAATTGATCTTTAAACATGATCCAGGAAGGCAAGTAATAATAGATTCAGTATCAGGCATTTGGCTCATTATGAGACATATTTTTAAGGAAAATACTGCTTCTTGTTATTTTCTTACATATAGTAGAGGCATTCTGTTTAAATTTAAAATTTAAATTTAAAAGAGAAATAGCCGTCTAGTTCTTCTGCTTTCATCCTGAGCTCCTCAACACACAGCTGTGCTTCTTGTATTCCTATTTGTGTGTTAAACATTTGTTGAATTCCAGTTGCTGATTTATTTAAGTATCACTATTCTTTCTGAATTAAATAGTACCTGGTGTAATACTAAACTGTTAATTCTTTTAGCTCAGTGTGTTTATATGTTATGATTATAACAACACAGAAACTCCCTCATAATAGCACTAGACCTGCTTGAAATAACTTCTGATTCCAACAGTGCCATTGTACTGGTAACTGTGGATAGCTCTAATCTATAAATCACTTTTGGCTTCTATGGATATGCTCATAACATTAGGGTCAGCAGGTAGCATTGGTTGTAAGCTTTGCAGAGTTTAACATCAAAGGATTCGTTTTGCTTTTTCTAAACAAAGTAATATTTGGGTTTTTTTTAACTTCTGTTTTGAAACTGAAGGTCCTAATAGAAAAGGAGTGGATTGCGATGGGCCACAAGTTCTCACACAGGTAAGAAAAGCACGTTATCTTGGGTGCAGTGACTGGGTGAAACTGGTGTGAAACTAATAGCATTTTTAGGTTCATGTACTCCCATGAAAAATTTAAATGAAAACACGGGATGCAGGAGAGAAGATTTGGAAAATACACTGATATAAAGTTGGTGATATAAAGCCAGTATCTCCTGGGGTTTTTATTTCATCAGTGCTTTTTTTTATTACTTTACAAAATCATACAGTCTTGAACAAATTGTTTGAATTCTGAGTGTTTTCCTACCTCTCAAATCAGATTTTTATTATATCAGGAGTGCTAATGTTCTGGTAAGACATGTTAATTCTTCTGCAATCATCTCCTGGAAGAAAATATCATCTAATCCTTTTCGGGACTTGACTACCAAATTCAAAGCATAAACCTGAGCCCAATATAATACTAAAAACCAACTTGATCTGCATTCTCTAGGCAGATTAAAAATGCTGTCATTCTTGTAATAGACAGCCTGCATCTAGTAGGGATATTACCTTGAGTTACTACTTGTTATATTTACTATATAGAAATTAAAAACTGAGATGGTCCAAAAGAATATGAGGGAAGGGACCAGTCTATTCAGTGCTGTTATGTTAAAAATTGAAGCTTTGTCCTTGTGAAACTGATTCCTGTTTTCAATAATAAAACAAAACAGTTTCCTTAAAGCATAACTGGGGGAAATAAGCAATGTGCACACCCTTATACTGGTGTATTAGAAGCAGCAGTCAAAGATAAACTGCTGTGTGATCATTATTAGTCAAATCAGTGTTCTGTGGTCGTTGTTTCTGCTTCTTTAGAGACTGTTTTCACCTTTCTTGCACTAAGACAAAAAACCAACCAACCAACCAAACAAACAAAAACCTCAAACCCCACCAAAACCCCCTCCTATTCTTCTGTTATAAAGGATTCTTCCAAATATGAGAATGTGGCAATAAATACAGAAAATACTTGAGACCTGAATTTCAGCGTTGACCGCGAATATGAACTTTTAGTCCAGTAGACAAAATCATTCTTCTCATAGTGGTGGCTGATGCCTTACAGTTCTGAGGGAAATCAATCCTTTGTGCTGCTTCCTTAAAGTATTGTGGTTGGAATCACAGAACCAGGAACTGGGATTTGATCAGATAGATCTGTGTCATAAATCTTACTTTATTTTTCCATTTAAGTTTGGGGATGCCTTGTTCCTTTTTGTGGATTTCCTGGTTATATCTCTTCCTAGAAAAGTAGGATTCGGCCCCAAGATTTTCTCTTAAGAAAGAACAGTCATTACAGCACAATAGTGTTTGGCTGCTTTCCAAAAATGCTATCATTCCTTTCTTGGTTGTTTTTTTCTTTTGTGATGGGTTGTAATGAACACTGATAGATCCCTGGCTAGATTTTTGCAGAGGAGGTAAGGTTTTTCTGAACTTCATCTAAAGCTGTAAAAATAGGTTTTGATTGTTGTTTTGGGATTTTCTTTGTTTGAGTTTTTTCTTTCTGAGTAATTTCATGCCAGGATTTCATTCTTGATGTCCACGTGGAGGAAAATCAGGTTGTTGTGGCTGTTGCTGCTCATTGTGGCTCTGCCTGCACCATAAAATACTCTCACATCCATACAGGATCACAGAGGACACTTTTTTTCCCCTCGCCACTGTTTCTTACTGTTCCTAGTAGACAGACAGAATCCTACCAATGTCAACTTTTTTTCCCCAATAAAGGGCTAGCATTAATTTCTTCTATTTGAACAATAGGTATTTATATGAAGAACCTTGCCTTTTTTCCCTTGTGCTAAGATCATAGCATAGGCTCGAGGATTCCTGTTTCCCAAATATTTCTTGTGATGCTTGCAAGTCTGTTACATAGGCTCTTCCATTGCTAATTTTACTTCAGAGAAAGGGACATAGCACGATTCTCATCACCCTACCAGGTACCCTTGGAGAACAAGTAATGCTGAGGGTGACACTCCTTAATTTACAGTTGCTGCAAGACAAACCACGTGGGGTTTTTTCTGACTCTGCAGAATATTTTCTTATTCTAGTAGTGAAGAAAACTTCCCCGTTGTTTAATGGTGAGGGGATTCTTTTTTGTTGGGTGACACAAGACTTAACAAGATTTTTGTTTGCATCTCTCTAGGTGTGGCCATTTGTGTGGTGACCCCAAAGAAGTATCCCCTGTCTTCACTCAGTTTGTTGAATGTGTCTGGCAGCTCATGCAGCAGTTCCCCTGCACGTTTGAGTTTAATGAGCGTTTCCTTCTTGAAATCCATGACCACGTCTACTCCTGCCAGTTTGGCAACTTCCTTGGGACCTGTCATAAGGAGCGTGAGGATCTGAAGTGAGTTGGCAGTTTAGAGAGCCAGCAGTCTAGAAGTCACTGTAAATATCAGAAAAAGGGCAGGTTGTGTTTGGTTTTGTGTTTTTAATGTAATGGTAGATTGGTTAAGGGTAATTTTGTCTTGATAGATCCTTATGTCCTATAGTGTGGGGAAAAAAAGTTATAGATTAATTATATCCCCAAAGTCAGGTGTTTTAATTTGGACCACAGTAATAACTTGCAGATACCCGTTTTGGCCTGGATAGTGTCCATTTTAAATGGTTATACATTCCTTAGTGATGTATCTTATGTTTGTGAAATTAATCAAATACTGTGTAAAATAATTCTTAGCTCCCTTAATCTCATTCTACTCAGAACAGTTAGTGTTATTAATCTACTTAACTTGATTCTTTTTTTTTAGTGATTAGATGTTATTTGTAATTGACAGAATCTTTGAGAAGACCCATTCTCTGTGGCCTTTCCTCTTACAGAAGAAGCAGGAATTGAGAAATCCTTTGTACAAAGGATTTACAGCTTACAAAGAGCTTCAACCTAACACACTACCTTTTAGTTTCCAGTAAGTTGCTTATTTAAGAAGGGGAAGAAGGGAGACGTTTCTTTCATTATAATACAGATTTAATAAAATTTTCACTGATTAGCATGGTTTGTTTTACCTTTCCCCTCCACTCCTCATCCATAAACTGACAGTAATAGGGCACAGGTAATTGCTAAATAAGTGCAGATACCGTAATTTAAAGTTTGGGGTTTTTTTCTTTGGTGTTGAGGGAGAGGATGGAGAAAGCCAGGGAAAAGAAGAACTTCTAATGTGTTGATAGGCACCTGGCCCCCCCCCCTTTTCCCACCCCCCCCCCCCCCCCATTTGCTCTGTCAAATTTACATGACAGTGTAGGCAATTGTTAAAGGAAGTTACTCCTTTCCTTCTTTTATATGTGTATATATATATAAAAGGAAGTCTTTCAAACAGGAATTTCAGTGCCCAGTCACACCCAGGCTTGTGGAGTCAGGGTGGTTTTCACGAGGAGGGATTTCTTATTGCCATGTCTGTTTGCTTGCTCAGGCTGTTACAGCTGAAGTGGTTAGTTTGGCTTTGTTTCTGGCTCACTCTTGTTCCCTGCTGAGAGAGAGCACCGTGCAAATGTATTTTTAAGTGCTGTGTGTGGTTACTGGCGGGCAAAGGATTTTAATAACAGTAGAGAGGTAGGGCAAACTGAGGACTTGAAGGTGAACTGCCCAAGCCTCCAGTGAGTATGCTATAGGAAAAAGTGTATTTTATCTTACACTAATACCTGCTGCCAGTGCATGTGGATCATAATGCAAAAGTACTCGAATTCTCAAAGTTTTTTCAACTTTATGAAAATTTTCCCATTAATACTTGTCCTGGTTTTATAATCCAAGGCTGTGGTGGTTTTTAAAAATGAATTACTAATCTGAATTTGTTGAAAAAAAATTTTGTTTTCTTAAACAGCATCTAGTTTGTTGGCCAGTAGTGAACAACTGGCCACCTAATTCTCTTTTCTTGCCTTGTTCTTGAGGTTTTGGTGTGGGATGTATAATCGCTTTGACAAAGGAATGCATCCAAAACAGTGTGTATTGGACCATCTGCTAAACTGTGTGAGCCAAAAGGTGAAACTGGAGGACGATGCATCTGAACTGGAAAATGTGAGTCCTGAATCTTAATAATATTTAAAAATCACATGGTTTTGGCAAATGTAACTGGGACTGGACATTGGCACTGAACAATTGTTTCAACATGCTGGGCAAAATGAGAGGTTAAGTGACATTGCTGTAATAAATAGGTTTGATTTACCCAAAATTCTCACCTGCTAGGTAAAAACTGTGTTTGGTCAAGTTCTGTTGCAGGCTCATGATGTTCCAGTTCTCTAAACAAAGCAGGTTTTAAAAGTGCATCTGGGGTTCAACTCTGCCTGCAGCAAACTTCAAGGGAGAGAAGAAAAGAATGCTTTTCTTCCCACACATAAATGAGTATACAGAAATATTCTTGTTTTCAACTTGCCCCCAACATTTTTCTTTCCCGCCTTCTCATTCACAAGAAACATTGGAAAACCGATGATCAGCCAGGTATTAAAACAATTGAGTTACTCAAGTAGGCTTGCAAGTAATGGCCAAAACATATGGATCATGTCAGCTGAATTAATCTCTAAAAGTGGATTCCTTGGATTTGAAGTGCTTTGCTAAAAAATGATGGGGAATCTTGCATATTTACCACCTGTCTTCTGTGTTATTAGAGGACAGAGATCTTGTGTCCAGAATAACCCATTTCTCTCCTTTGACCCAGAATCATAAACTAAACAGCAACACAATTCATGGTTTGGTCAGTTCAGATCAGGCTCCTCAGAGAGCTGTATTTGTCTGTATGAAGGTGTAGGTATCTATCAGTGCAAGAGAGAGAGGGTGAGAAAGTAGATCATCTTGTTAGCTTTTGAAGTGCTGTAGTTTTGTGTTTCCATACATACTGGGTCTGGCTGAGATGAGGTTAATATTAATATTAACAGGTAAATATCAGGAATATTAACATATCAGGAATATTAACAGGTAAATATCAGGTACTGGGAGCTAGGAAGGTGCTCCCCAGCAGCCAGGCTGGCTCTCCAGCTTCACCCCCAAAGGCCGGCAGGCTCAGGATGGGCAAGATCTTGGGAGGGGACACAGCCAGGAATGCTGACCCCAACTGACCAAAGGGATATTCCAGACCATATGACATCTGCTTAGTGAGAAAAGCTAAGAGAAGGGAAGGGTTGAGGAGGAGAGGGAGACACATTCGTTATTACTTTTGTCTTCCTGAGCAACCCCTACACCTACTGACCACAACCCCATTCCCTGTCCCTCTGTGCCGCTCAGGGGGAGGAGATAGAGAAATCAGGAGTGAAGTTGAGCCTGGGAAGAAGGGAGAGGTGAGGGGAAGGTTTTTTTTTAAGATTGAGTGTTTTATTTTCTCATTACCCTACTCGATTGGCAAGGAAATGAACTAATTTCTGCAAGTTGAGTCTGTTCTGCCTATGACAGTAATTGCTGAGTGATCTTCTGTCCTTATCTCAACCTATGAGCCTTTTGTTATATTTTCTTTCCCCGGTCCAGCTGAGGAAGGGAGTTAGAGCAGCTTGGTGGGCACCTGGCATCCAGCTAGGATCAACCCACCACAGTACTGTACAGCTGCCTGAAAAGAGAAGTGTGGCTTTGCTTTATGCTCAAGGATGTGCTTGGAATATCCTTTCTATGTGTATTAAAAAAAAAAACACAAAAACAAAACCAAACCCCCAAAACAAAAACAAAAACCCCCTAAAAAATACAGAAATGGGAGAGTCAGCAGGGAAAAGACCATCACTGTCCTTTGCATGATTAATGTGAGTGATGGAAATTTTAGTTTTAATAATTAAACAATGATGTTTGTATCAAACATGGAAGGATCTATGCCTAGGTACTTTAATGCTGGATTACAGAGCTGAAAAGAGGCACTGGCACAGAACTACTACGTTGACAGTTGTCTTTTGTATATCTCTGACGTCTGTGAATAATAGCTTTCCTTAATGTTTTTGTTGTCTTTTTATTTGTGTAGAAACTTCCTTTCCTTGGTGGTCCTTTGCCTAGTGAAGCTTCCTCCTTATCTAAACTAGGAAGTGCTGCTTCAAAAACACCAATGCTCAACACTCCTCAGGATTACGAAGGAGAACCACCTCCAGTGTTGAGCAATGGTGCCTCAGCAGGGGATATGGGTGTTATGTCAGACATGGACCAAAAGCACAAAGAGAACCTGTCTCATCACCGGCATCACCATGATCTTAGTGACTCCATTGACATTTTAGACTCTGAAGCTAAGGACGGAAAGCCTCAGCATCACTGATCAGCTCCGAGAACCGTATTTGGTGAAGCAGGTGCCTATGGTGGTGAAGACAGGGGAGCTGTGCCCCCATGAGTGTGTAGACCACCTAACCATTGACGGCTACGTGTGAGCATGTGTGTTTGCAGGGAGCTGTGCTCGCTGCAGAGAAGATATTGGTTTGGTTTGCATCATTTTGCAGCTGAAATGATGGAAGATACCTACAGAGCTGCCCAGAAGGCTTCCTTGAGTTAGTGTAAACCTTATTTTTCAGTAGAAACACAACGTGTGTTTATGACTGCCTGCCAGTACTGGTATTTCAAGCTGAAAGAAATCTTGGCCAATTGACATGGGGCTTAGGAGTTGTGCAGTGTTTAAAACTGGAGTAGGAAAGATGCAATCCATTTATTCTCAGTGGTGATGCAAGGTCATCTTCAAATGATGAAAAATCTTGGTTTGTCTTAAAATTATTAAAAAAAAAAAAGAAATCCTTTTCTTATCTGTGAATGAATCTCTGCATGGACCCTCACCTTGTGGCAGAACTGATTCATTTTTTGTTTCCTATGCATATTTGTTAAAAACAAACCCCCCTGTGCCTTTTTATGGAGACCATTTTCAATGTCTAGCCATGCAATGTACTATTTTTATTATTGTAGTGTAGAGTGTACTATTTGGTCTTCTTTGTAGTCAGTATTTTTAAATAAGGATTTTTATCTGCTGCCAGCTTCTCTGGGATCTTTGCCGATCCCCTGAGTTTAGTAGCTTCTTTCTAAACTGACCTTTCAAAAAATAAGCTTTTATGGACCTCATTTTGTGATCACACGAGTGCAGCAAGCCACAAAGCCTGTAACACATTTTTGACAGAGGGAGGATGAGAAATGAGAAAAGATAGGAAAAAATGTATATGGAATTTTTCTCTCTTGTTTTGTGATCTTGGTTAAATTGAAGCAAGGGAGTAACTCTTTGTTCTAAGCTGGAATCGATGTGCTTTGCTCACATCCATCGATGAGGCAGTAATTACAGATGAGTGTGTTCTATTACTGAAATGAGGCCTAAAACGATTAGTTGACATCACATGCTGAGTGATTATAGTGAATATTATCTTAAAATTCCGTGAACCTTTGAGATGTTTTGTCTGTACTGTCAAGACGTGGGGAGATGAAGAGTATCTCTCATGGCAGTGAACTTTGTAACTTTGTGGAGTTGGTGACAAAACATAAATTGGGATGTGACCCCTTAATGGAACAAGAAGTGGATATCTGGGCTCGTGGCTGTGGCTTCAGCTTAGGCTCGCTCCAGTGCTTGTTAACACTACTTGTTTTCTTTGATCTGCAGTAATCTCACTTGGAGATACTAGTTCAAAGTTGCAGGTTTAAAACAGAGACGTATATTCCATTTGTCCAGAAGTCCTGTGGAAAAACAGGTTTGTTTCCCCAGGGGAATGGATGGCCCAGGAAAGCTGTTCCACAGTACTTGCTCTGGACAAGCACCTATCGATGTGCTTAATTGCACGGAGTCCCTTTATGCAGCTTCAATTCAAGATGTTTTTTCTGCTTTCTTTTGGATCCTGTTATTTAAATTGGATGCTGCCATAAGGTCTTAAAATCAGTTTTTCTCTTTTATAAAATTTCAAAACAAACTGAAAATGTTGTAAGCTAGCCTTCCCAATCTACAATAAAAAGTAGAAATATTCAATTATGGTGTTACAAAATGCAGTAGCCATTGTTCATACACTTACAACCTATGGTGAAATGACTAGGTTAGTTTCAGTGTTCAGGATAAAGTAGAAAAGAAAAAAATAAATAGAACTCCCTGAGTGTCTAACATTGAATGAGAAAATATATATATTTTATTAAGTATATCAAAAGATGCAAAGAAAAAAGGGCAGTACCTGAGAGCACAGAGTTTTGTCAATGCCTAGAATGGCAAAGAGAAGCTTTTTTTTTTTTATGTTGCAGGTTTTTCAGTCTTAAAGCAAGTGATACTGGAGCAGTTTTAAAAAACAGTTGCTTTCAAGGTAGAAGTGAGAGAACTACAATGTGCGATTGATTTGAAAACTAAGCACACAAAATACTGACCCAGATACGCTTAAGCAGAAGATGTTTGGACATTGCTGTGTGGCTAAGTATCAGAATTACTGCATCATGCAACAGCTCTGTCTTTTATTTTGAAGGGTACACATTTCCAAATGCATCTTTTCTTAGTTGCAGAGATGAGTACCTGCTGTTGAGGCTCTTTGCTCCTAAAAAGAGATCTGCTAAGCTCCTAACTCACTACCAGCCTTTTAAGTTTGCCATATCCATGTACTCCTCAAGCGAAGAGATTGCTCCCTAAATCTTAATCCGGCCACTCTAGATACCCAGGGTTTGGAATCTGCTGTAGATTTCCACTGGAAGGTGCTGGGGAGATTATTTCCCTTTGCCTCTTTATTGTGTAGAAGCTCAATTTCACACGTACACGTGTTTTCTTTCTAGGTGGTAGAAGAGTGTAGTGGGTAGTATGCACGGCTTCTGAAATTGAGAGCTCTAAAATGGTAAATGAGACCAAGACCGGCACTTTTTAGGACCAGTTATTCTAGATGACATCAGGTTTTTTTCATGTGTTCTCTAATGAAAATTAGAGATACAGAATTGTAGAGAAATTTGACTGACTACTACTGAAGGTTTTAGACATGCCATTGGTTAATCTTCGTATAAAAACATTTTACAGGAGGTTTCTCTAAGTGCTTACACATTGCCTTGTCTTTTGAATTGCCATAGATTAACTTGGAAAAAGTATAATAGTCTTTGTTTATCCCTATAAGGTGACACTGTCATCTTTTACAAATCCTTCTTGACTACAACATTACTACAGGTGCATATAGCCATGAAAAGATTACTTCATATGCTGAAAGTATTTGTAAGCTTTTAGTAGTCTTGCTGGTTTTGACTTCAGTAACAAAACAATGGATGACTTTATACTTTGAAATGCAAAATGTAGCCCAAAAAAAAAACCAATCTGTTTTTTAAACCTCTTGGATTTAATGTATACAGACTTGGTCGAAGTCTACAACATATTAAAAATCATTCATGCTGGTGCTGTAAATTTAGAGCTGGAAAAGATTCCAGCATTTCCTGGTTTTCCATTAAATTATTTATTTGAAAAGGGATTAGCTAGAAGCTTTTTAGTTTTGATGGTAACTCTTGTGTGTTTCAAGACCAAAAATGAAAAGTTTGTCAGAACACTGCAAGCATGTCCTCAGGTCTCTGGTCAGCTTGGACTGGCTTCCCAGAGCGTCCTGGAAAGCCTGCTGCGTTCACTCATTACGGAGCGACCAGCTGCCAGTGGTGAGTGACTTGATTATACGTTCCTTAAAAGTGTTAAAGGAAATCTAAAAGCTGTTACATAGGAGTCTTCTTATGGAAGCTCTGTGTAGGTGAGAAGTTACTATAACTTATTTATTCCTAGCGGAGCATCCATCTGTTTGAAGTCACGAATACTGCTTTTTATTTGGAGCTGTTAAGTGAACAATGCAACTTGCTGCTTCCCATTTGGATTCCTCTGACTGGGAGGGACGAGGAATCCTATTTGCTGCAGATGGGCTCTGTGTAGAACTCTGCCTTTTCTGGAGCACCTCTTGCTTTACCAAGATCCTCCATGGTATCGTGGTTTCATGCCTGTACATAGTGTCTCTCTTGCTACAAATAGGTGTAGCACTGCAATGGGCAAGTGCCTGTAATATTCTGTGTTAAAGCTACTACTTGGAAGTAGAAGAGGGACTTGTGCAGCTTTATTTCTCAGTTGAAATGTCTTAATGTGAACTTTGCAGTGCTGGATTCGTAAATTGTATTTTGTTCTGCAGCTGTCACCTGTGGTAGAGAAAATCTAATTGGTGCTCTTTGCTTTACAGAAAAAAGGGAATAATTGTTTTGCCCATAGATGTTGTAGTTCTTAGTTCATGGGAGAGAAAAAAGCAGTTTGTTAAAGCATATAGGCATCTTATACTTCTAGCTGCATATCCTGTCCCTGCTCTTAGTGAATGCCTTTCATTTCAGTCTGTAGAAGAAAAATCCACCTGCTGTATAGGTGCTCACTGGTACATAAAGCTCCTCAGACTAGGATGGAGAAGGGGACTTGCTTTTAGGTAGCTGGTGAGCTTCAGTTTGCTCCAGTAAGCTTCTCAAGTCCCGGTGAGAGAGATTTCCTAGGAGCTGAACTTGTGCAGAGCTTCTTGAGTGAGACCTTATTGGGTTACAGATAGTAATCTCCATGTTGATGTTCCCTGTGTCTGTTGTTGCCATTGGGTTTGGAGATGGAGAGCCCTAAAAGGTGCTCAGAAAGCACCTTTGCTTCTAACAGAGCTGTAGCACGTGGAGGGAAAGGATTGAAAAGAGCTCTTGTGCCAGATGCTGCTTCAGTTTGCTTTCTGGTCTTTGGGTAGCTTCAGTGCTGATGGTTGCTCCTCCAAAGGGATCATTTCTTGGCACTATTTAGTAATGAGTGACCAGAAGAATTCAAAATGTGTCTGCTGTTTTGCTCTTCTCCCCTTCCCCACTGCTTTGCCTTGAGTGCTGGGTCGTTTTTTGGTAGGTCGTTTTTAGGCAGTTATTCCTTGTTTACGTACTGTCCCTCTTGCATGTACAGGCACTTCCCATGCCTCAGGGTGGAGTCGGGGGAAGAATCTGTTCTGAATGTTTTGTTTGAATTCATACACAGCACTTGATTAATTAGATGAGGGATGTCTCGAACCCGGTGATGTTCAAGTCCATGTTTTTTGTAAGCACCTTTAGCACTAGGAGCAGCCAGGTTGGTGCCAATTGCAGTCGGTGTAATTTGCCAGGGTGAATATTTTAATGTGCAGGGCTGCATCCTTTTGGCATCTCTGAACTACAAAAGCAATGAAGAAGGAGGGTAGGTTCAAATGGTTGACCTCGATCTCTTCTCGTATCATTTATCTGTGTTTGATGTAGTGGCATACTACTGGAGTAACTTGTAGCACTGGATCTAGTCGTATGTAACTGAGCACACGTATGTCCTTTTCCTGT